GCAGGCGCCGTGCAGGTAACTGCACAGGCTGGCGCCCTCCCAGCCCTGCCAGGGAGGGATTAGTACTTTACAGACACAGAACCTGCAGCTCGGGAGAGAAGGAAGCGCCCCAGACAAGTCCAGATCCAACTTGTCAGCGTCTCTGGGCTTCCCAGCTGGGCCCCCGTGCTGGGTGGGTTATTACGTTTATCTAAAACGTTAACCTACAGTTGATCATTAATTAGGAGCCTCTATTGATTTACAAATGGCACTGGAAACAGAGATACATAATTCTTCACAGGACACCTGGTCTCACACCAAGAAAGCCAACATGGCTCCCAGCATTGTAACAGGCAGGCTGTCCGAATAAATGTTGTGCTCAGAGACACTTACCCGGCCTCGTAAGAGGTGCACGGCGGACTCAGCACAACCACCCAAACCCTGATTCACGATGGAGGAGTTTCCACGCGCTGAGCTCGTGGACCTCACGCCTGCAGAGTCAGGGAGCCAGCCGCGCGTGGACTTGGGGGCCCAGGGACGTGCTGGGAAGGACTGTTGCTGCGCGGTGCGGAGGAAGAGCTGGCTGGCGGGCGACTCGCAATATTGGGTCACAGATTCAGGAGAGGGCCTCTCCCAGGATATGAGGAAAGAAGACGTAGGTAGAAACTCGCTGCTCTGCGCAACAGCGTAATTACAGTCTGGCAGAAACAGGAGCGCTTGCTGGTGCGTGTCGAGGCTGGACCAGGAGGCAGCAGAAGCCCTCGGAGGAGTTTAAAGGTGACGGCTCCCGGCTGGGAACGCCTCTGCTCTCTGCACACCCTGGTCCTCCTGGTCCTGTCACCCGGCCTGGGCCGAGTGTAGGCTTGCACACAAGCCATGGTGACAGGGCACCTTCTGAAAAGATGCTCTGCCAGGCAAGCCCAGGTTCCCTGCAGGGGAGAGGTCCCTCAGGAAAATGCCACCACCCCTGTAGGGCTGCAGCTTGTGATAAATAAATACGGGGTCTTTGTACCCCGTTCCTGGCACGCAGCTCCTAAAACTCTTGGACTATGTCCAGTGGTAAAGTGTGTTTTGTGTGCTGGGGGTTGGGGGCCCCTAGGTGGCTTCAGGAGAGGGGATGGTCACCAGCAAGAGCAAGACAGGGTTAGAGGGTTGACGCTTTTAGCCCTATCCCTGACCCCCGGGAAGGGGCCAGGGGCCAGAGATTGAGTCCAATCACCAATGGCCAGTGACTCAATCAACCGTGTCTACGTAATGGAACCTCCAAAAAAAACCCTCAACAATGGGGTTCTGAATTGGTCAGCATGACAAGGTGCTGGGGGAAGGTGGTGCCCCTGAAAGGGACGGAAGCCCTGTGCCCCATCCCCACACCTGGCCCTGGGCGTCATTCCCACTTGGCGGTTCCTGAGTTGTGTCCTATATTATAAACTGGTAATAGTAAGTAAACAGGTTTCCTGAGTTCTGTGAGCTGTTCTAGCAAATTATCGAACCTGAGGGGTGGGGATCCCCGACTTTATAACCGGTCGGTCAGAAGTATGGGTGGCCCAGGCTTTGGACTGGCGTCTGGAGTGGGGGCGGTCTTGTGGTCTGAGCCCTGAACCTGTGGGGTCTGAGCTAACTCTAGGTAGTCAGGGTCTGAATAGGACTGAATTCTTAAACACCCAGTTGGCATCCAGAAAGCTGGTGAACTGGTTGTTGGGTGGAAGAAAAACCCACATTTGGTGTCAGAGGTGTTGTGACTAAACACAGTTCAACCAAGGCTGCAGGCTGTGACTTCTGCACCCATCACGGGTCCTGTAAGACGGCTCCAACTACTCGAGGTTGTGTGAGACCCCGCGGTCTGTGCAGGATGTGGGGGGTGGGGGTGGGGGTGCTGATGGACCAGATATTTGCAAAGGTGACTTCTGTGACACAAGGGGTCTTCAGGGCACCTGCAGAGCAGGACAGGCCGGGTTCTATTTCTTGGGGGCCTGTAAGGTGACTCAAAACCAAACACAAGTCAGGAAGATGACCACAAGGGCAGACCAGAGCCCAGCTTCTCACCCAGGTGATCAGAGATGTGACAACACACCAGACCCCTTGTCCAGACAGGCTTGTCCCTATCATGAGCTCAAATGCCAGGCACATGTCCCCTGTAGGGGCCGAGTTAGAGAGATGAGAAAGATACAACCTGACACTATAGAGGGAACTTAGAAAGGGAAGGGTTATGCCCTTGAAATCACACGCTGTGTTTATTTGAGAACACTGGTTCATGGGCCTCGGGTTCTGTTAGTTTTTCCTTCTCAAGAATTAGGCAGAGTAGAGAGACCACATGATGATGGAGCCCATGTAAGTTTGGAACCCACTGCGGGGAGAGTGAGTGGTTTAGATCCTAAAAGAAGGGACACTGTTGTCTGCGTCCTGACCAATGTGGCAGTTGGAGAACACCAGCTCCTAGGATGGCAGTAAAGAGGCCTCGTGTGTTCTCACCTTCATTAAATGCACAGATGTAAAGCGACCTCCCACTGGGCTCTCTCCCACATCACACATTACAGAGAGAAACTGATTAGCCAGACGCAATCCCTTTGCAAAAGGACACCCTGAAATGTGCCGTGGTCGGCCAAGGTGCTCAGCCAAGGTGCTCAGCCAAGGTGCTTGGCCAAGAGTGGAAAAGGCCGTGTGCAGGATCCAAGCACCTGGGCTGGTCTCACTCCAGCTTCCCAGGAGCCAGGCACATGCCAGCAAAGCGCCCCCCTGGTGGGCGCGCACAGGACCTGGGCTGGCAGGCGTTACCGTGACACTCAGCCCCACTGGACCCACTTTCCCACACCGCGCAGGGGCCGAGGGCCTGTCCACCCAGCTGGCCAGCCAGCATGTCCGAGAGGACAGCAGTAGCCAAAGCACAACAAGGCAGTGACAAGTTCTTATTTCCTTGTCTGTCCAACAAAACATCAAAGTCACAAACTGTGAAGGAAGTTATAAAACAAAACAGGACACTGTGCGCACTTTTCCATCTGCGTGTGGTCGGTAAAAAGCCTCCGAGGGCACACCGTGGACAGTGGTCAGCTGTCCCATCCAGGGACCAGGGGGAGGAGGGCTCAGCACAGGGACCGAGAGGGCAGACTTTATGACAAGAAAGTTTATACACTTCCAAATTGTTTTGAACTTTTTAACGAGCATGCACTACTTCTGTAATTGTATTGAAACAAACATAGTTCAATCATCCACTTTCTAAGGCTGCTTGTCTGGCATGACATATCAAACTTTTAAACATGGTCTATGGCTATTCCCAGTCTCAGCTCCCTGTACTGCACCCCCGGGCCAGCCCTGAACCCTCCGATCCTCTCTTAAATGGGACAGGATCAGAAAACACCAAACCCAAACGGAAACCCCCCACAAAGGGGCGTGGTCCCTACCTGCCCGTAACAGAGAGGACGCTCGCTGCACCTGCACCGGGAGGCACGTCCCTCGCAGGGGCCTCGCTAGGTCAGGCCTGCAGGGATCTGTGTCTCACCCCCTGGCCTGGGACACTCAGGCACTGGCCCATCTGCTCGCCCGGCGCCTTCCAGTGCTAAGGGCGATGCTGGTCTCAACATCCTGCGTGGTTACCACTGGTTTCCTCCTGTAACCTCAATATCTTCCAAAGACTTCCCCACACTTGTTCCAGGATTATATACTGTGCGGCTCCAGGATTGGCAAGGGCATGGGGAAAGAGAGCTCTCCTGTGCCAGCCAGGGCAGGGTAAGCTGGACCAGCACTTCGGGGCCGGTTCTAGGATACTTGGTCAAGCTGAAGCGTGCATACCCTCCGGTCTGCAACTCCACGCCTGCCCTTGACGTCGTCCTGTGCCTGAGGGGTTAGGTCACAGTACACACGCAAGTTCACGGCAGCTTTGTTCTACTTGGGCAGATGAGAGCACAGCCTGCCTCTCCATCCACAGAGAATGGAGAAACAAGCTGTGGTCCATCCAGGGACCCTGAACAGTAGTTAAAGCAAGCGAGTAGAGCCATATAAATCAGCCTGGATGACTCTCCAAATTGCTGTGTCCTCTACAGAGGAAGCTTGTTGTAAAATTGTACATACAAAATGATAAACACTTTAACGGCACAAACTACGCTCCCTGAGACAAGAAGGGTGGGGCTGCCAACGCCTGCTTCAACACCTGGGGCCGGCCACAAAGGCGTCCCTTCCTGGCCCTCTGCTACACAGTGTGCTTTGAACTTAGTAATAAACCCTGGAGAGATACGCGGGTAAGCCTTAGATTTAAGAGAAAGTTGTTTTAGAACTCTTTACAGATACTTTCTATTAAAAAAAAATCATCCAAATTATTTATGGTATTTGGCTAGTCTAATATGTAATTTCAGCCTGTGAACTGTTAGCAACTGGAAAATGAACTCTACATAATATCTAAATGGCTCAAATCTGTATACCAAGTTGCAGAATATACATGCACACACAAATATCGATGCACATATTTTATTGAGATATAATTCACATGCCATATAATTCACCCATTTAAACTGCAGAATTAAATGTTTTCAAAAATATACTTTACAGACGTGTGCAAACTATCTCTACCATCACTTTTAGAACGTTTTCATCACCTCCAAAAGATACCCTGTACCCACAGTAGACACTGTCCATTTTCCCTTAAACACAGCCCCAGCCCTGGCAACCACAAACCTACTTTCTGTCTCTACTGATTTATCTATTCTGGACATGTCATATATAAATGGAGTCATACATATGTGTGCTTTGTATCTGGCGTCTTTCACGGAGCCTAGCGTCTTCAAGACTCATCCACGTTGTAGCCAGTGTCAGAATTGCCTTCATTTTTAAGGCTGAGTAATACTCCGTTATATGGATAGATCACATTTTATTTATCTGTTTCCCAGTTCATGGACCAGATTTCTTTTTTGTGTGTCTGCATTTTCAGTAACTCTAAGATAGAATAAACTCTCCGCAGCCCCTGCCCCCCAGCAGCTTTAAATTTGCTTCCTCGGTAAGCAAAGGCCCATCACAGTGACCACGCCCCAGCTCACCTTCTCCCGGGCCGACCTGGACATGCTCGAGACCTGCTGCACCGCCAGCTCCAAGGGTGGCTGCAGTGGGTCCTCCTCGAAGGACAGGAGCAGCGGGCCCTGGAATGGAGAAGCACAGTGAGGGGACGCTTGCACAGCGGGGATGCCTGCTTCTGAAAGAAAACTATGTTATTTGCTATAAAGTCCTGCAACTCTAAGAAAATGTAATACGGCTTTTTTTTTTTAGTTAAATCTGTGCTTCTAAATGTCAGCGATGGTTGAGTCTCAGTAAGTTCAGGCACCTGGGACCCAGCTCAGGCTGGACGGCGCTCGGGGGCAGGGCTCAGTATGAGAGGCGGATGGGAAATGGAGACACGCAGGAACAAAGCTGTGTCACTAAAGGCAGTGAGCGGTGCTCCGAGTGTGAAGACACCTGGGCTCTGTGGGGAGGTGCTCATGCTGGTCGTGGGTCTGGCCACGCACAGCAGGTCAAGGGCTGCATCCTTGCCTTCTTCTGGGGAAAGCCCGGTTTTTAGAGAATCATCTCTCCTTCCTCCCTGGTCGCCGGCTGCCCTTAAGGTGCCCCCTTCTCTTCTCCTGCCACCTGAGCAGTGGGGTGGGCAGGAAACCCCAGGGGCCGGCCGCCTCTCCTGGGTTTGAGATTCCTTGAGAAATGAGCCAGCCTGGTGGCTGTGCCTGGGGAGCAGGTTCCTGAGTCCCTGCTTCGCAGACGTCTGCAGCTGCCCGCTCCTGCCCGCCAAGACCTCCTGGTTCACCCCTGCCTTCAGCTCTGTCCATCCCATGTACCCCACCCCACCCCCATCCCCACACCCTTCCAGTAAACTCCTCCGGGGCTTGTCAGCCTATGTCCATTTAGGTTCTTGCAATGAAAGTCTCCAAGGGAGTCAGATGTGTGATGATATTAATATGACCCGTCAGGCTGAGGCTTTATAAAACAATAAATCAGGGCCTGGATGGCCAGGCAGGTCTCATCCTTTTTAAAACAAATTCCTTGAGAGGCCAAACATGTAGGCCAACAACACAACCCTGGGAAGAAACTTCTCCAACGCTTCCTGACGGGCTGTAGAAAATGCGTCACCGTTGGGCACGCTCTGACGGGGCAGGTGGAGAAAGACGCCCACCCTACAGCTCCTCGTCTGACTCTACGCTGCCCGGTGTGGTGAGCAGGTTCCAGCCACACACTTCCAGGCGGAAAAGTGAAAATGCTGCAAAAGGCAGGAACGCTCTCCTGGCCAGTACGGCGCAGACGAGCAGGCAATGGTGTTATGGGGGCTACTTCTCCAGAATTCCCAGTGACCCAAAATAAACCTAAAAGGCACAGAATGTTTTCGTTTCCATGCTCGTAACCTCATCCTGTTGTAGCAACGCCTATCTCATGCCCAAAAAAACATCGTCAGGGGAGAGTGAAATCTGCTCAAGAGTGACGAAATCCTCGCTTCAGGGCTGCCCCACAGCTGACATCCTCCTCGGCTGACACTGGCTGCGGTGTGATCTGCTGACCAGGGGCACATGAGCTTGGTGAGGCCATGGGGCCATGGACCGGGCGGCTGGCTGAGAGGACGCCCCCAGCACGGAGCCCGGTGCCAGGCAGGGAAGTGACCCACCAGCAGGAGTGGTCCCAGCTGCCAGACGGCGTGGTGATACAACGCACCTTCTGTTCCAGCCTAACGAGACACGGCTGCCGTGAGCAGCCCGGTGGCAGCCTCCTGCCCTGGGCACTGGTGGGTGCAGTCCATGCCCTCTTACTACGGCTCCTTCTGGATTAAAACCCTGAAAAGATTCTGCCAGGAAGTTAACGTCAAGGGGTGGTCTCCCAGGAAGTAAATTATTAAGGTTAAACAAGGACGCAGGGTCCCTTTCCTGTTTATGGCCTGACATGGCGCTTCAGGCAGGCGGGCACGGGCACAACACCAGCCACACACTCCCGCGTCGCCCGCACTGCCCATGTGCAGACAGCCACCATGGCGGGCATCACCTCTCTTACATTAAAGCTGGACTTCACAGCCCCATGGGAAAGCGACACGCAGGAATCGCCAGGAAACCACTAAAACAAGAAAAGCATAAGGGGGAACTAGCCCTGCCAGACACTAAAACACGCCACAGGCCCTCCACAGTTCCAGCTGCGTGGAACTGGCACGTGGACACGCAATGGGCCGGTGGACGGGAACGGAAGTGCCGAACTGACCCAACGACACGTGCAAACTTGGCATGGGACAAAGGCGCCTCCCCAGATCACTGGGTAATGATGGAGTCCCTTTTTAATCAGGATGTTGGAGGCACCCCAGATGGAATACAAACACTAACAAAACGAACTTAACCGCATCATAAATGAAAAACACAACCACCCTAAGACACTTTGGGGAACAGTGTCCTGACTGCACATACTGCTGCCATCTGGGCAGTAACTGTGTTTGTCACAGGGGTACAGGGTAGCAATTCAGAAACTACTCTATGTGTCTACTAGAAGTGACCAAATAAGTAAATATGGTCCAGACAGTAAGCACCTGGGGCCTCCCTCCTGGGCGAGGAAGTTAAACATATGGAAAGAGGAAGAGAAAATGAACTCTGGGCTATTGACCTGGAGTCCAAAGGATCAGTGTGAAGTCATGGTTTTGAAGATACAGACAGACAGAAAGATAGGAAATACGGACATGTGCATAGGAGTGTGTTAGTACTCACACATATATTTCCTAGCTCTGTCCACTAAAAGGGCCTAGAAACAATGAGAACCCAGCAGGAATGAGTACGGCTGAGGCCCAGGTCCTGATTTCTAAACACTTCTCCAATAAAAGGAATCAGAGCTGCTTGGAGAACCTGATGAATTCAGGGCTGGAAGAGGGGAAAATACAACATGAGTCTAGAACAAACATCTTGTAGAACCATCAAGGAAGGAGTGCTAGCTATAATATTTATTTATCATCTATCTATCTAAAATCTTTTTTTTTAATTTTAGTGGGGAACAGCCATGGTCATTGGTTACACATTGCTTTCATGGTACAATGGCATAGTTGACTCTTTTAAGGAGGGCGCAGCTCACAGTGGCCCATGCGGGGATCGAACTAGCAACCTTGGTGTTATCAGCACCACGCTCCAACCAACTGAGCTAACCGGTCACCCCTCTATCTAAAATCTTGATGAAAGACCACAAAAGGCTACTACTACTCAAAGAATTCCTAAGGGCCAAAACAAGAACAATTTAATCAACAAAACAAATAGCGATAATATTGGATTCTAACCCATAGAATAAAATAAATGCCCATGAGTCCACACTGATATAAATAATCAACTCAATAAATAGATAGAGGGGAAGTGGCAGCTCTTTCCGCAGTAGAATTCCAATGAATAGACGTAGAAGGAGAGTGGAAAAAGAAAAAGTCATCATTAAGCAAACTCCCCAGAAGTAATTGCTGTAGACTCATCACACGGACGGATGTCAAAATCAGGGAGCAAAAGAGTGAGGAGCAACAGGATTTGTGTTGCCTCAAAGTATCTCCCCAAGATATTTGCTAACTTCAGAGAGAAAGATATAAGAGGAGACACAAGATAGGAACCACCTTAACGAAGAGATCGAGGCCCAGAGCCCCAGGATTAAGTTACGCTGACCTCATGAACCCTGTGATATAGTACACGGAAAGGGGCGCCTCTCTGCTGTGCTTTGTCTAACCTCAGTCCAATCAAGGTCATCGGAAAACAAGGAAAAAGTAGGAAACTGCTCCAGGCTTTGGGAGACTAGGGAGAAGCAACAACTCAGTGCCATGTGGGACCTGAATGGGACTCTGGAACAAGAAGATACTGGAGGAACAGGTGAAATGCAAACAAGGTCTTCAGTTTAGTTAAAGACCAACACCAATGCTCATTTCTTAGACTGTTACACTGTTAATATTGTATTGTGAACTATAGTAACATTGTGTCAATGTTCATTTCTTGGATCATTGTGCTATGGTTAAGTGAGGCTGGGTCAGGAAGATAGGGAAACTCTGAATTATTTTTGCAACTTTTCTGTAAATCTAAAAGCAGTAGAAAAATAAAGTTGTTTTGTTTTTTTTTAAAAAAGAGATTTTACAAGAAAACAGCCCATCTTTGCTGACTTTATTTTCTAAATGCCTCACATAGATCTCATCTGGAGTGGATTCTGTTTTCCAGACTGAACCCAAAGCAATCCTCTTCTACAGACGAAGCACCAAGGGGTCAGGAGTTGCCTAAGGTCACACAGCCCCAGAACTTTCAGCCTACACAGTGAACACACAGCCCTTCCAGGCTCAAGAAGTCCCCTCCCAACTCAGCAACCCACAAGGGGCCGACGGGGAGTGGAAGTTGGCTTCGGCTGCGTTTTAGTTAACACTACGCCCACTCTTCCTTCCCCTGAATTCCTGTCTCTTTGGGAGAATGGGTGAGTGCAAAGAACAACCTGAACTAGCGCCTATTCCTGGGTTGTGGACCGACAATTTGCAAAGTCATCAGTGAGCCTCCTTTAATGTTGATTCTTTAGAAATGAAAAACAAAGCACATTAAACAGCTTGTTTTGCCCAGGCTTGGCTGCTTCCCAAGCGAGGAAGGCCTGTGTCCAGATGGGATAATGCACATGGCACCGTTTCTCCCACCCAGCGACAAGTTTCTCACAGGCCCTGCCATTATCCCCTACCCCTACCAGGACCGCTGCCTGCTCTGAGCCAGCCTTACGCCGGGCACACGGTGTGCTGTGCCTGGACAGACAGGGCTCTGCCCAAGCTCACAATCCCAGGAGCTGATGCGGCACCAGTGACCACAAGGTGCCAAGGCGATTCCGGGACAGGCACAGGCTGCCGGGGTGGGGGAGGGGCAGCATCCTGGCAGAATGGGAGGCTCCGGGACCTTTGTGCTGAGACCTGAAAGGTTTACAGAAGTTAAACAAGGAGAAAGATTAAATATGTGTTCGAGACAAAAGGAATGACCTGGGGGAAGGCCCCACACAGGAAAGTACCCTGAATGTTAGAGCACCAGAAAGGAGACGAGCACCAGAAAGGAGACGTGGGGGTCACGGCAGAGGGCACAGGGAGGGGCGCCCAGGGGCGCTTCTCCAAGTCTCCAAGGTGGCCTGCACATTCTTACCAACTGACCGCTTAGGGTGTGACCACTGTCGCTAGTCAAGGAGAAGCGACATTTGGGTTTGGGGGAGCACCCCTCAAAGCTCGCTATGTAGCAGGAAAACTTGTCACTGGATATGATTAAGTGACTTCCAGTGCGACCCCACTTTGTTTACTTTTTAAATTGCAGAAGCTCATATACAAATTAGAGCTATTAATAACACGTGCTAAGTTCACACAGCATCTTTTTTGTTTTTTTTTTTAACAAAGACCACAAATCGTCCCACGGCCTCGCTCACTTCCATTTAAACATCCTTCTGAAAAATCTCTTGGGGCGAAGGACTAAAGAAAGAAACAGCTTGGGGGTGGCCCACTGTGACCCAAACCCAGAACACGGCCCACACTCTGGGGCCAGTACTCGCCACATGCGGACTGGGCAACATCCACCTGGGGAGGGAAGGGCTGCCCAGCCCACCGGCGGGGCTCACCGGGCCACAAGCCCCTGGCTCCCAGAGCCAGTGAGCTGCTGTGGAAATGGCACCCCGGAGCCCCCCAGGTGGGTGTCGGGGGCTGTGGACCGCCACCGCAAACCATTTTGTAAACGTCAGCATAAGATGGGGGAACTAAAGAGAAAAGCTCAGCTGTCACCTTTGGATAACAGGGTAATAGTTCCCAGTCTAGCGGCTGAGGCAGTGCTGGGATGTCTGTTTTCCAAGACTGAAGTGATCAGGTCAACTGGAATTAGGTGTTTGCGACATCAGAGCGGAGAAGCAATGCTGGGTGAAGGGGACTCTGATTGACTGATTGATAGTTCCTTGGCTTAGGGACAGATGTGTATCTCGTGGCTTCTCGCTGGTGAGCAACTAGCTTGGAGAACTTGTGAAACATACAGTATCCTCCCTGCCCCCCCCCCCCCCCCCCGCCAACCTGAGTCTGAATTGGAGGGGGGCCGGCATGTGTACTGTTTCAAAGCTCTCTAGGCAATTCGCCGGGGCTTCCCAAACACCAGCTCTGCCACGCTGGCTAGCAGAGCACCAAGGTTTTCTCTTGTGTGTCCGCAACTCACCATCCTGTCTAACTTAAAAATAGTTTCGGAAGGGTTGGAATCACGGGGCCCCTCTGACACAGGGGACCTGTACCGCCATGGTCATGGGTCACCCAGCGTCAGAGGAGACCAGGAGCTATCATCGCTCAGTCCTCAGATTGCTGGAGAAATGCGCCCCATTGTTAGGGGTGATATGTTAACCATCGGACCCTTTATCCTTTCTTGCTGGACCTCAGTTAAAGGGGACATGTGGGTCTCACAGTGGAATCCGCTGCCCACAGGGGAACGTGACTGCAGACATGGACGGACCACGAAGACCCAGCCCAGGGTCCAGGTCAACCCTGGCAAGTCTCTCTAGCTCACGGGCCTCGGTCTCCCCTCTGGAGAAGGAAGTGGCTGTTAGCCGAGTTTAGGGTTCCTTTCCGTCTTCAAATACAAAGCCAGGGTGAGGCTTAGAGTGGGAGGAGTTACCGTCTCCATCGGATAGAGAGTTCCACCTTTCACGAAGATGTTGGATATGATGAAGCGACTTCCAGTGTGTCCCCAACCCCTCAGTGACAGGCTGAGAAGTGGTCTCCTCCTGGGCCAGGGCAGACAGATGACAGGACAGGGCCGGGGCCGAAGGGGGCCACTAAGCTGTGGCTCTCTGGGCCAGGAGCGGGCACAGACTGTCAACCCTAATCCGGGATTAGTGGGAGGACAAAGAGAAGCTTCAGGGCTGGCAGCCTGGGTCAGGACGCCCACTAACGCAACACCAGCCTGCTCAGCCCTGCTGTCATCGGTGCCGCAACAGGGATGGCCTGGGACCAGGAAGGGCGTGTGACAGTCAGCAGGAGGAGGCAAGCTCTCCAGATCCTATCTGCCTGCAAAACCTTCCATCTGAAGTCAAATCAAGCAAGGCTTGCAGGCACCGGGAGAGCACCACCTGACACCACCATCAAACCCAATCCCCGTCCATGCAAACCTGTCGGGGACGTCTTTGAGCGTGAAGCCCGTATGTTACGGCCCCTTCCAGGCAGGAGGCTGGAGACACTGACGTCTCTGACTCTGTAGTGCATGGTCCATCGCAGACAGAGAACAGAGAAAACACAGGCCAGACCTCTCTCTCCACTTCCTGAACACAGAGCTCCCCGGCCCCCGGCCCCCAGCCCCCGCTTCCCACCCCAAAAGAGCTAAGCGGTTGGGTAAAAGGTTTCTTTCGAAACCAGTTGTTTCCTTCAGTGTTCTCAGCTTCACCTGACCTACCAGACATTCCAGAGAGGAATTTCCTCCTTTCTGCCTCAACTCTGCAGGCACACAGATCTGGAAGCACTGTGCCTGCGGTAATCCTGTTTTCGAAGCCCATCAAGAAATGTCAGGAAGCGAGGCAGAATGGGATAAGCAGGGCTACCCCAGCTCTAGGAGGCAGGGTCACGCCTCTGTGCCTGAAACTCTGTCAGGAGGCCCAGGGTTAAAAACCAAAAAGATTCTCCAGGCCCTTCACCTAACATTCCCTGGAATTTTAGAGAGAACAGGAACAAGGCTCAAGCCGGCTAAGGCCTCCACCCAAAGTGGACTCAGCCCCAGAGCCTGGCCTGCGGTACCAGGTCAATCAGGGGTCAATAACCGAAGCTTGGTGGGGAAACCAATCGGTGTCCGCTCCCATGAGGTCACATGGCTTTAGGTCCCCACAAAGATGGGGTGGTCCCTCTGAACAGAAGACATCCAGCTCTGCACAGCAGGGGCACAGATTCTAGGCACCAAGACATAGGGCAGTCAACTGACCTTGACGCCTTTTTTCACCCAAAAGGTACAGTTATTTTTTTCAATAGCTCAGAACACGGTCTTTCAAGTTGTTGGATTTATGCTCATTTACACGCAAAGCTGTCTTGTTTTTTAAACCCATGGCCATGTGAGTCGAGGCCATGGCGCAAAGATCAGGCAGTGGGCCTGTTCTGGGATATTTTGAAGGTTGATGGGTCCAGGCATGCAGCACTCAACTCTTTCCAAAGCCAGTGGCCACAGGTTTCTCTGCGGAGCTGCACACGCAAGTGCAGGACCATGAAAGCCAGGAGTGTGGACAAAGGCTGGGAGGCACCTCCACACACACGCCAGGCACTAGGTCCTCCTCCAGAATGCCCAGAAATAGTAGACGCCAGGAGCCGTCCTTAAACTAAGATGTCTTAAAAGTAAAAATAATTCACCACGTCACTGACCGTGGAAGACCAAACCACAGGAGTGGGCTGCAGCAGAGTTAGGTCATAAGCCCCTGAGCTTTGGGGTAGGAGGCCGCTGGGTTCCAATCCCAGCTCTGCAGCCCCTTAGGCTGTGTGACCTTGGGCGGGTTACCTAACCTCTCCAGGCTTCAGGTCCTCACCTGTCAAGTGTCAGGAGTTGTGAGGACTCAGTGATGATAAGACCCCAGTACAATGTCTGGCAAGCTGCTGGCCCTCGAAAAACAGTCACTAATTTTATATGCCAGGGAATGCAACCCTTTTGGAAATACATTCATGGTGAAATTCAGCTCTATAGATGGAAGCGTATTTGGGTCACAGTTATTCATATATCAGGTGCAAAAGCAGAAAGTGTCCAGCTGGGAGCTGGGTCCCCCCGGGGCTCCAGGAAGAGCAGGTATGAGCTAGAGGTGGAATGGGCTCCCCTTGACAAGTCTCTCCAACAGCCAGTGCGCTGCACACCTGGTGTGTGGTGAGTAGGTCTAGTTTTGTCTCAACGCCCCATCACGGATCACGGATCGTCCGCGCTCCAGGGCCTTCTTCCTAACTTTTCAAGGATGCCCTGCTGCGGGGAAGGTTCACGTGGGACCAGCCAAGGGCTGTGCGAGGCCGACGGGTCCGCAGCCGGCCATCGGCCGCACCCGCCCGGGCAGCCCCACCTCTGCCCTCACGGAAACTCACCGCTCTCCGTCTGGCCTCCCGGTTCAGGGCGGCCACCCAGGCAGCCTGCCACTGGCTCCTCCAGCTGGTCAACGTCAGGATCCAGCAGAGCAGCACGTCCGACTCGGGGCGCTCGGACGCGCGCCGCGGGGGCCGGGGTCGCGCCCTGGCCAGCGCCCACTGCGCCAGGTACAGGCCCACCGTGCCCAGGGCCACGACGAACAGCGACACCAGGACCAGCCACTGGACCTCACCGCGCCACGAGCCCAGCGGGGACATGGTGACGGCGCATACCCGGCGCGCCTCGTCCCAGGGCGGCCCGGGCGGGGCGCGGGGCCCGCGGCAGCGAGCTCAGGACATCAGCCCGCGGCCGGCCGGGGGGCGTGGAGGGGCGCGGCGCGCCGGGTCCCCGCGGCTGAC